TTTACATGTTTGGGTAAATTCTGTTTATTTTACTGTAGATTTAGAGTTTTTATTTTTATTCCAGTGATTATCTAAAATTGATTTAGACAATAGACTTAAACTTCCTAAAACTGGAGAAAATCAGCTGTCAATGTGGTTAAGGGTTTTCTTTTCACATCTCCAATAATCGAAAAGCTGTACGTTGCAATATTTTGGAGTTGATGGCGGTGCCATACCGACATCTTTTAAACCACTTTATGGTACGATTTGGAAAATATATACTTTCATCTCTGAAACCGTTTTGCCTCATTTTCTCACTGAAACTTGCCTCTAACACCTTTAAAATATTAAAACTTTGCTGCTACTTTTGGGAGTGTGGAAGTGGGGCATAGAGCTTAGTACACTGAGCTTTTTCTGTCACGTGGGATTGCACAATATTAAATTAAAATGCCCTCTGAAAGTAACTAGATTATTTCTTTTCAGGTTCTTTATTTAAATAGGATAAAAATTATTTATTTTTTGCTTTTTTTCTAATAAAAGCATTACAAATTTGCAATAGCAAGTTTACAAAAATGTTTCTCTTCAGACCAACAGTTGTTTTATAGTCCTAACTGGATAATTTTATACAAATATTTGTTCTTCCAAAAAAAGAAAATATATAAAGGGACGTGCATAAATCCACCGAAAGATATGCACAAAATAAGTCCTTTAGCTTTGTTTGCAGGCACAGCAGAGTTGTCTCTAACAGTAGGTTTAACTGGTGATGACAAGAATCCAAATACATATTGCTGCTTACTATTGAGACATCAAACCAAAATGCCAACAAAGAAGTAAATTTAGTATGATTACCTTAATAAGATTTTGCACTCAAAAACAAAGTGCAAACAAAGTGACCTATTAAAAATAAAGTTTTTTGTCAGGCAGTGAGATCATCGCACAGCTTTATTTTTAGCTCTTTACTGTAGATGTTTCTTTCTGGATGAATCATTTCTCATGCAAGTTAAGCATTCTCCGAATGAGACTCCTTGTTAAGAGCTTTAATGCTGTTGGCCTGGCTGCTGTAAGAGCTTCAAAGTGAGGCCACTTAGTTTTCAAGAGTTTTCATTAATGAGAGCCAAGGAAGACAAACCAGTGTTGTGAGAAGACATCTTTAGTTTTTGATCTTTGGTTCTTGGGACATCTTTAGTTTTAATCTTTAGTTCTTTGGACAAAAAATTTTCCATTCATACAGATATGAACATATTTAACGTATTGGAGCATCTTAAGTACCGTCAGAGTCAGTCCTCTGATGTCGTTAATCTTTAGCATGGATGTCTGTGAGACATTTCTTGTTCAGTGCAAATTCACTTACAGCAACTATATGTTCAACATCTGACAGAGACCGTTATAGAAGATGCCTTTGAAGTTTCAATCTTCAGCTAAAGAGCCCTAATTTTTTATGTAAAAATGCTATGTTTTGTATTTTAAACTCCTTTCTTTCAGAATTGTTTTTCTATCATCTAACCGTAATTATGCCAGTGAACTCCTTTCAGCAGGTTGTGATTCCTGCTTCTGTCTTGCCTTTAAAGTCCTGTGACAGCTCTCTGAGAGGAAGAACAGTCCTTCTGTATAGAAGCGTTACTGGAGGCCTCACATTTAGTTTCATGGGCAGCACTCTGAGTTAATAGGCTGCATCCTACAACTGGAGTAAAAAAATCTCTGCTTGTTTACAAGACAGAGTTTGTGCCAAGAACATGACAAACGCTTCCCCACACTTAAAGCTAAAGGCAACCGCAGAAGGCAGCATATTAACAAGAACACCTAAATCTGTCTGCACTGTTTAACCTCCGAGATTTCCATTTTGGAAAAAACGTAAGAATTGTATGAATGTTTAAGGATTATTTATTGCAGGCCTCCTCTAGTTTGGGAGAGGCAGTCAGTATGCTATAATTGGAGGGTATGATCAGGTGAACATGTGTTAATCCTCATTTATTTACAAGTGTGGAAGTTGCAGTGGTTTAAAAGTTTGTGTGGGTGTTGAGGAAAGACTTAGTCCACTGAAAGAAATCAATGCGGCCTTTTGTAGCAGTAGATCCTATTGTAGCAGAAGGAGAGCAGGCAGTTCCAGGCCGACTGATGTGGTGTTGGTGGACTTTGACGAGCGTTTAATGATGCGTCACTGGGCTAGACAGGTGATCAATTTATTTAGGCAGTAATGTATGTATCCCCTGATAAATCTTTAATTAATGGAGAAAGAAGAGGACAATGGGGACACAGAGGATGGAGGCATGTTAAAACCCGCCAGGGAAAAAAAGGAGGGGGTTGCCCTCTTATTTCCTTTTTAATTAGCTGTAAACTGCTTGATACTGCTGTTGTTTCATTACATTTCCAAATGCCTTCTTCAAGTTTAATCCTCCTGGAGCAAGGCAAGATTTTCATTCCAACAGTAAAGTAAAAAAGTATTGACATGGAATTCATATCGGATGTAAGTAGAAGCCCAAATACTACAAATATACTTTAAGCAATGAGTCTGGAGCGTTTTATAAGGTCGTACTTGTGCAGCGTTCTTGAGTTCCAAGGTGCGGATTTCTAAGCCAATCTTTGTCTATGAAACTTATAAGGCACCTGCAATGGTCTGTATGAAAAGTTGCTACCCAAGCCTTCACTGCTGAAGAAAAACATGTTGAAGCCTGTAAAGTATTTTTTAGCATATAGCTCATGTGGTTGAAAAAAGAAGAAACTAGGGGAATCATCAGGTTTGATTTAGGGCTAGATTTGTGCCTTTATTTCAATTTACCTTTGCACTAACCCCACACTTGTAGATGTTTTATCCCAGGCTTTCAGTTTTTGAAAGCATACTTGCCCTGAGTCTATTGTTGCAGGTTTTTACTGTAATTTTTGTGTGAAAAAGTGCTTACACTTTGACTTCAAATGTTTTACATCTACCTAAAGGGCTGTCAGAAATTACTTTTGTTAAATTTAGTGTAAAATATAAAATACTAATGTAAAGATGAGTGCCTTTGCAACTTGAATTTTGCGCTTTGTTAAATAGCGATAATGTTGCAACTGCAATTAATTGCCTAGCCCTAGTTTAAATCCAATCAAAAATCAATGTGAAGAACTAAAGATGAGCATGCACAAAGCAGGATTTGGGAAGCTTTTAAATGTCAGTGCAAATTGTGTGAAAGGCTAGTTTAAAAATAAATCCAGTGCAATGAATGAGATGTGTTTACAGGAAATGTCCTCAAGTTGTTTTACCAAAGAAAGGCAGTTTTTTTTTAAGCATGTAATACACAAAAAATGTGCTCAAGATTTCCATTTTATGGAATGGGGTTATGGTCTATCTTTTTATTTTTTATTTACTTTAGTTGGATTACTCTTGTTACTACCAACTGGACTAAATTGTTTGTTAAAGCACTTATTTGGAATATACTAATGAAAGGATCTTTCATTCTTCCCCTCCTTACTTAGAAATTCTTAGGTAACCCAAGTGAAAAATACATTTGAGGATCCTTATGGTTCCACTTTAAGGCTCACCATTTCTAAGCTATAGCAGAGCAGCAAATCTACTACCTGTGCACTTACCCTTTTTCCACTTTTCATGGACAATTGGCTTCTTTTCTGGACCACTGCACTGCTGTGAAACAGGGGCCACAAGAACCACATACATCATGTATAGTACTGTCCACAAAAAACTATTTGTTCGTCTACTGCCTTTTGAGCCTTTTTTGTTTTTCTCCACTGGTTTCTTCAACTCCTTGTTTGTTTTTTGGGGGCAGATGGATCTTTTTTGGAGCAATGCAGAATCTTATTAAAATGAAAGACTAGGCTGGGGTCGAAAATCGATTCACACATACAACCATCTTATGTCCTTTTGCTTTGGATGGCATTACTTTATTGTCAGAAACAAAAATGAGCACTGTTTGCTCCCTCTACTTTACAATATTTTGCTTATACTAGAGTCAAACAGATAGAGGAGGTTGAATGTTCATAGGGACATTAAAGTGACAGTGTGACTCTATCTTTATGCATCAATCCACTCTGCATTTGAAAGATTTCTGAGTGTGGGTGGAAAAAAGTCACACTATTAACTTTCCTCTGAATGTGTGGAGGAGATTGTGTTTATGTTTTCTATGAATATATTTTGGAAAGACATTAAAAACCGCCAGCCTTCTCGGTTGCATGCACCCAACAGGAACACAAACTGATAAATAATTTAAAGCAAACAGGAACAAACTCTATATTTTTGCAATGTTTCTTACGTTATCAGTTGATGTTTAATGCTGGAACATTTTTTAATTAAAGAACAAACTTCAACAATTTATCAAACTCAGATTCACTTATCTGTTAAATGTACTGCAATTTGCTGTCTGTCTTTAATCTGTAAAACCACCGCACTGCCGTAATAAGTATTGGAGTTAGCTTGCACACAGAAATTTACATTATTTGACCAACATTGACTAACTGACCAGGACTTCTACATGATTATCGTCTCTTGTCAGCAATTTCTTAGACTGACTGTACAGTGATTGCCTGAGAGTTAAGGAGAGAATGAGAGCTTGTTTGTCAGTGAGAGGTAATGGGGGAGGGGGTTATCTGTGAAGTATAGGACTAAAGTCTATGCACGTATTTTACAGCATGAGAGTTCCTTTCAATGTTGTCATAATTAGTCTTTGAGTTTGGAAAGTGAAGATGAAGTCAGACAAAATTAGGCTAACCTGCCCTCAGGTAATTATGCAACATATTGATGTCCAATAACCAATTCATGTATCTCCTTGGACTTTTCCAACTCATCTCCTCTATGATACCTTTCAAGTGTGCAGAAATTAATCTGCAGCGGTAGTACTATTGGGATTGAGTATTATATGCAGTGGAAGAGACTTGGCCAAAATGACTATTTTTGCTAGATTGTCTTGATTTCTTACAGATAGATTAGAAGTCTGCTGTGTTTTTTGCTTGCTAATAATTTCCTATCATTGATATCGCATTTTCTTTCTTTCTCTTGCGTTGCAATCTGACGGTTAAATTTTCTGTCACTGCAGGTGAATCTGTTGACAGCAGGAGCACTGGTGGGATTCCCCGAGGGTACTGGAGCTTTTCTTGGGTAGCCGAGGATGACCTAAGTTTTCCAAATGACACCGCAACCAAGTCAGGTGAGTCGGTTGTTGTCAGCTTCCCTTAGACAGACAGACAAGGTGAGGAGCCTCTGTCCTCTACAGTCTTTGTTCCCAATTGGCCTCAATGCCTGGCGTCATCTTCCTATCAGCACATATGAACGTCTCTGTCTAGCTGGCTTCCGTTTATTGCTGCTGGCAGCATCAGAAAGCTTGGTTTGCTTTGATCAGCCTGGCCATGAAGACTTCCTCTTGTGTAGAGTTGCCTTTTTTACCCTGTTTAGTTTCATATTTTCCAGGCAACATCTATGCTAGGTAGTAATTATAATAAAATATAGTATAATAAAAAGGGTTACATAGAGAAATTAATTGAAAAAATGTTTTGTTAAATAACATTTTTTTGCTTTATTTAATAGGCTACAATTCTATTATCACCTTTAGCCTAAACATAAACACTTAGACACAAGCAAATATATTTAAAGATTTAAATATAATCAATATTATTTATTATATGAATATAATTAAAGATTGTAACAGAGCAAGAGGCCTTAAAGCAGCGGTCCCCAACCACCGGGCCACGACCGGTACTGGTCCGTCGGTCATTTGGTACCGGGCTGCACAGAAAAAAGTGTGTGTATATATATATATATTAGGGGTGGAACGGTTCACAAAATCCACGGTTCAGTTTCGGTTCACGGTTTCGGGGTCACGGTTTTCGGTTCGGTTCAGTATATGTTTATTGTTACACCGAAAAATAAAAAAAATAATAAAAATTAATGAAAAACAAAAAATTATGAAATTAAAGCTACAGTGTGTAATAATTACAGGAATATACAGTCAGAAATGTAATATATTATACATAACTATGTTATTTATCATCATCTACGAGCT